CCATCAGGGCTGGGGGGGGGGCTCCACTGACCCCCATGCCCCTCTGCCCCCCAGATCCCGGCTCCGTCTCCCCCAAGTCCAGGTCGGAGGTGCCGGCAGTGAAGGACCGAGGCACCCTGGGTGGGGCTGACCCCAGCAAGGATGGCAGCCCAGGTACCGCAGGGTCTGGATGCCTGGGTTCTCGCCCCAGCTCTGGGACGGGAGTGAGGGTCTGGGACCCTGGATGCCTGGGACCCCTCCCCTGACCCCCCATTTCTCTCTCTCTTCTCCCCCCTGCAGGCTCCGGGAATGGGACAGGGCGTGCAGGGGGGGCAGATGGCCCCCTGCCCCAGTCTAATGTGCCGGCCGTGGCAGGGGCGGTAGGGGGTGCAGCTGTAGTGGCACTGCTGGCGGCCGGTGTGACGGGCACCGTGTGCTGGCGGCGCCGTCGAGGAAAGCACGGGTGGGGGGGCTGGCAGCGGGGGCAACAACAATGGCTCAGAGCCCAGCGACATCATCATCCCACTGCGGGCAGCTGATGGCGCCTTCTGCCCCCACTATGAGAAGGTGAGTGGCGACTATGGGCACCCTGTCTACATTGTCCAGGAGATGCCCCCCCAGAGCCCCGCCAACATCTACTACAAGGTATGAGGGGCGGGGAGCCGGCTCCTCCCCCCACCCGTGGCCTCGCCCCTCCAGTGGCTTGGCCCTGCCCCCCCCAGCGCTTGAGGGGTGAATGGAGATGGATCCGGCCCCTCCTGGCACTGATGGGGTTAATGGAGACAGCTCAAGCCCACCCCACCCCCAGCACCAATGGGGTTAACATAGATCCAGCCCGTTCAGGACTGATGGGGTTAACGGAGACAGATCCGGCCCTTCCCAGGACTGACAGGGTTAACATAGCCAGATTCAGGCCCCCCCAGCACTGACGTGGTTAACAGGTTAATGTAGAGGGATCCAGCCCCCTAGCACTGATGGGGTTAACGGAGATAGATCCAGCCCCTCCAGCACTGACAGGGTTAATGGGATCCAGCCCCCCCCCCTGCATTGAGGGGGGTTAAGGGAAATAGATCCAGCCCCCCCACACACACACACACTGACAGGGTTAATGGAGATAGATCCAGCCCATCCCCCCAGCACTGATGAGGTCAGTGGAGGTGGATCCAGTTCCCTCAACACTGACGGGGTTAACAGAGAGAGATCCAGCTTCTCCCCCCCCCCCCCACTGGCTCCCCGCAGTAATGGTTAATGAGATCCAGCCCCTCCAGCACTGATGGGGTTAATGGAGATTGATCCTGTCCCCTCTAGCACTCACTGGGTTAATGAGGTTCCCCCCCAGCACTTACAGGGATAATGGAGATGGATCCAGTGGGGGGGGCAGCACTGATGGGGTTAAGGGGGTTGGCTCTTACCCCTCTGGTGATGCAAGGATTTATGGCTCCCCACTAGCTCTGCCCCCCCCACCAGGACCCTCCCCCTGCTGGCTCCCATAGGGGAGTTAGGAAGTGATAGGTTTAATGAGAATCTCTCCCCTCCTTCCCTTCCCCTTGTCCCCCCAAGCACATAAAGCTGGCTGTGTGGCCTCAAGGGGGTGGGGCCTGTCTTATCCCAGTTGGTTGGGTGGGGATGGTGTGGGCGGGGCTGGAAACAACCAGACCAAGATGGCCACTGTCCCCCTAACCTCCAGCAAATGGGGGTCAGAACCAGGCCTGGGGGAGGGACTCTATTCTCCCCCAGCTCTGGAGGAAGCAGACAGGAAGTGACACTACCTGACAGGAACTGAGGAGTAAAGGCCTCCAATTAGGGCGGGACTTCCTATTTTGGTTGGGGAAGGCAGGGACCCAGACTTCCTGGTTTGGGTGCTTATGGGGGGGCCAGGACTTCCTGTTTTAGACACCAACGAGGGTTGGGTCTTCCTATTTTGGACACTGATGGGGGCCAGGACTTCCTGCTTTGGGCACTGGCAAGAGCCAGGACTTCCTGTTTTGGACACCAGTGGGAGCTGGGACTTCTTGCTTTGAACACTGGCAACAGCTGGAACTTCCTGTTTTGGACACCTTTGAGGGCTGGGACTTTCTGTTTAAGGTGCCATTGGGCACCAGGACTTCCTGCTTTGGGCACTGGCAAGAGCTGGGACTTCCTGCTTTGGACACTTATGGGGCCAGGACTTCCTGTTTTGGATACTGGAGACTGGGACTTCCTGTTCTAGGTGCCAAAAGAAGCCAGTACTTCCTGTTTTGGACACCGTGGGGGCCGGGACTTCCAGTTGCCTCGGCCATTCCCGCTGTGCTGGCCCTTCCCGTCCAAATGGTTCATTATAGACGTTCTTGTGAACCTGACCCGCCTCCGTGGTTCTTTTGCACGAGTCCTTGTGAGCTCACAGGGGGGACTTGCACATGGAGGGGGAGGATCTGGGGCACAGCAATGAGGTCACCCTAACCCAGGGGTGGGCCAGATGCGGCCCACCAGGCCATTCTATCCAGCCTGCAGGGTCCCTAAAAAAAATGGAAAATAAATACTTATCTGTCCCTGGCAACCTGTCCTCCATGGCTTGCCAAAACTCAGTAAGTGGCTCTCCGCCCAAAATAATTGCCCACCCCTGCCTTAACCCTAACCCTGCCCCCAGCTGGGCACCCAGATGCCTGGGTTCTCCACCTACCAGGGGAGTCAGGTGGAGTCCCAGGCCTGGATGCTGCCCCTTTAAGGCTGCCCCTCCCCCAGTCCCCCTGCCCAGCTGGGGGGGGGCCCTGAGTGACAGGGAGCATGACCGCTGGGGTTAGAAGTCACCTGGCCCCTCCCCCAGGCCAGGCCAGGCCAGAGTGGGGAGAAGGTGGGAGCCTGGATGCCTGGTTCTCTTGGAGGGGACTGGAGTCTATGGGAGGGGGTTGGAGCCCAGGGGGATTGGGAGACCCAGATGCCAGGTTTGGGGGTCCAGCACAGCCACTGCCCACTTCTTGTCTCCCACCTTGGCAACCAGTCCTGGGGACTTGGCAACAGTAACTGTGGCAACCTGGTACCTGGCAGCGGCCACACAGCACCAGGGAAGGTGCCTGGGTCCAGGGCAAGAGGGGTTGCGGTGGGGGGGGTCATCCATCTTCCCCTCCCCCACAGCCCGACCTGGATGCCTGGGTCCCATCCCAGCTCAAGGGTGGGGGGCCATGCAGCCTGGGGGAGGGAGCCTGGATGCCTGGGTTGTCTCTGCGTTCCTGTCCTCCAGCGGACCAGGCTGAGGTGCTAGCACGTCTCAGTGCTGTGGGGGGCATGTTGTCCTTGCAACCAGGAGAGACATGGCCCCCCCCATCAGAGTGGCCCCAATCCAGGCCTGATCCAGGGTGCTGGTTGCCCCCACACCCCTGATCAGGACCCCCAGAAAGGGAGCTTGGAAGAGCAGGATGCAGTGGGCTCTGGGGTGCAGCAGCTGGAGAACAGCCGAGTGTAACACTGGTGGGAGTGGGGATGTGGGGTGGGTCAGGAAGCCTTTGGGGTGCAGGGGGCTGCAGGTTGGGAGTGAGGGGCACAGCAGAGTTGGAGGGGCATGGGACTGCGAGTCGGGAGTGAGGGGCACCAACTCCAAGGTGCAGCCAGCTCTGGGCGGGCAATGGGCCCAGGATGAGTCAGTGTGGGGGCAGGGGGGCACTGAGCCATGGCAACAGCTGGCACTGGGGCCTGCCCCCCCCCTCAGCCCAGGGTGGGGGTCATGTCTCGTCTCTATGTGCTCAGCAAACAGGCCGCAGGCAGTGCCAGGATCCGGTGGGAGGGCAATGCGGGGGGGGGACACATTTATGAGCTGGACATTTAATTTAAATGACATCCATCATGGAGGTGTGGGGGGGGTCCCCATGTTCCCACAGCCCTGGAGCTGGGGGGAGGTGATGAGGGGCTGGGAATTGGCCTCCCACCTCCCTTTGTCAGGGCTGAGACCCAGAGAAGTTGTCTCGCCTCTCAGGGGCAGGAGCTGGGCCTTCCCGGGCCTGTGTGAGGGGTACCTGTCCCGGCCGGGCAGGAGGGGGCCGCGGGTTGGGAGTGAGGGGCTGGGGGGTCAGGGGGCTGCGGGTCGGGAGTGAGGGGCACTGACAGG